AAACCTAAATTACTGTAAGTAAACTTTGTTTTTTGTTTGTTTTATTAAATAACCACAAGACAACATAAATTTGTGGCAAAACCAGAATTTTTCCTCAAAGTTTTAATTAGTTTTACTTAACTTATTTTCACACTTAGAGAGTGACCAGTTGAAAATACTCAGTTGGTGTTTACAAATGAGATTTTTTTAAAGACAATGCAGCAAATTAGTGGGGAAAAAGACCAGTATACTTTTTGTAACCTACTTATAACATTTTCTGAGACTGATAGAGTAGTCATTTTACATCCTAAGTTGGTGTTGACGAATTTTTTTTTTTTACTATAGAAAATGCATACAATTGGCAAAACCAGATGGGTAGACTTTTTTGTACTAAACTTGTAACTTTTTTTCAGACTGAGAGAGTAATCAGCTAGACTTGATTTGCATGTAGGAATCTGTGATTTTTTTTTTGTTTCTGAACAAAACCTGATTTAAACCCAAATATTTATTCTTTCTTGATTAAACATAAAACATTTCACACAATTTTTCCCTGGTTTTTAAAAAATTTAGCTGAATAAAAAAAAAATTCACCCAAAAATCAGAACTCCTAAATATAGTCCACTTCTTAATCATCAACTATTTGTGTTATCAGTATAGGAAATACAGTTCAGTTCTTAATAATCTACCATTTGTGTTTTCAGTCTAGGAAATTTAGATGAATTCTCAACCACTTACCTTTGGTGTTTTGAGTAAAAAGAAAATTTTGATTAATTGTCAAACACTTACCTTTAATGTTTTCATACATGTAAATAAAAACAATCCTATAATACACTTTTACATATGCAGACTGGTAAATGTAGGCCACTTCAAACAAAGAAAATAAACTTATCTTCAAAAATTATTATTATAAGAATTGCTTTTGAAAGAAAAAGAAGTTGAAACTTTGTTTTAGAAAATTTTATCAATGCCTAACAAAATCTGCATTAAGATTACAGGTTGTTCACAACTATCGATATTTACAAGCATACAAAATATATGTTGGGGAGACAGAAGCTCATGTATGCTTTCCAAAAAATATTGAAAAGACATCATTTGTTATAAATAAATATCTTTTGATTTCTTGTTCCCTATTTATAATGATTAGGTCCAATAACATCTTAAAAAAAAAGTATCATTTTGCATATTTGTAAAAAATGGCAAAATAGTTAATATCCCCTTATCAAAATTTCTATTGCTTAAAATTAAACCCAACACAACATTTCTTGAATAACAGAAAACTAGTATATAACAGATACAGAGATTCCCACAAAAAGTTGCTTGAACATACCGTGAATTTCTCTGTACAAGTAAAATCTTCATCTAAGAATACCCGTACTTGATCATATGCCATTAACTCCTCACTTGCCATTAGGGTTCTAAAATAAAAAAATATTAACAGAAACTTGTGATAATGAAATGATCTTTTGCATAAGCATGATCCATTACCATTTTTTATATGTCACTAAATCTTAAACAACAGAACATGAAACATTTTCATCCCTATTTATGTTCCAACATGAAAATAACTACAGTAGTTAACAAAAGTAATACTTCTTCCAATACCCAATTTTCAAAAAACAGTTATTAGAAAGTGAACAGAAAAACAGCCATAATACTACAGAATCACAAGATCAACCTATTTCATCAAGAACAAAAAAGAAATAAGAGAATATCTTTGTTATTAGTGCCCACCAAATTTTAATGTAAAATGCACTTATTATATTATAGTTTATTCTCGGGTCCAACAAAAATAGAAACCTAAACTCATTTAAAAACACACATCCAAAGGAAAATCTGCTTTATTGTGATAGTTTGGGAAGACCTTTTTTTTCCATATTTGCCTGCCTAGTAGTGTCAATTTTAAAAAAAGTACAAATTTCACTTACAGCATTCTGTCTAGAGCACTATAGAGAAATATCATTATTATTATACTCCATTGTTAAGAAATGCTGATCACACACAGATTTTGGCATATTAAGAGAACAACGCAATAACAGATCATTGTATTGTAACAAAATTTAGATTACATACTTACAACCCATCAAATAAAATTAAATATAAAAGTAAATGTTTAAATTATGAGTGCAATTGTGTAAGGCCATTAGGTAATGTATATTATTCAGGTAAGCTGATTTCTAGCAGGCAAGTTACAAGTACTCCACAATATGCAGAATCTGGAAATATTAAACAGGGATTACATCAAGCTTCGACAGCAAAGGAAAAGCAGCATATGTAAATGTTCAAACAGAACAAAAATGTATTCAAATAAGTAGGTCTTTTTGTCCCTTAAAACTTCACTGGCCAGCTTCAATGTTCTGTTATCACTGTACTGACTTCTGGCGTGTTCATTATATTAAGACAAGATTAGGAATGATGATACATTGCATGTTTAGTCAGAACTGAAGTACCTTGAACAATATCCCCAGATCCTATATTATGCAAGTCAATATTAATTCTCATTATACACATTCAACTGCTATAAACCCCTATTCACATTAACTTGTACAAGTCTCTGTACCATCCCCTTGACTTGAGTATGACCCACATTCTAAGGAAGTGTTGATACAGAAACAGGGTTATGGAAGCACAAGACTTTACAGAGTGACTGTTGTAGTATATAATGCTTGTCTAAGAAAATGGGTTAATGCATGAAAATTTGGAAAATATTTACCCGATTAAAGATTTTTTTTTTTAGCTATGGAAAAATGAAATTATAGTAATTTTTGGTAAAACATTTAATACTCAAACTGATCAAAATTTTTACTCCCAACTAAGTTATGCATCACTTACAAATCAGCCTTTCAGAATTTCAACATGTTTCATCTCAATAACAGAATCCCTATTCCTCTACATTCATGGGTCATTTCACAATACACTTGTGGTGACTCCAAGGCAACATATACTGGTAATACAGAAACATATGGGTGTATCATAAAGATATTAATAAATAAGAAACTAATAAATATGTCTCCCTGTCCTATCGAACTATATAAGAAGCAGTACAAACATAGCATTTTTATAAATGACTTCAGAATTCTGGTACCAAGCTTATCTAATAAAATTACTCACAAATAGTTTTCTAATATCTATTGAATGCCCAAATATGAACAAAAACCAGTACTAATATCATCTATACCTACTCTAAATATTTATCTCTATTTAAAATATTATTGTTCTGTTACTTTTACTCTGCTGTCTTTCTTTAACTACTGAAAGTTAAAATTTTCCAATACTAAAATGTATTTCCAATAGATACCTCTATTCACATAATAGCATTCCTCAATTTGTG